CGGACTGGATGTCTAGTAAGAAAGTCATCTTCTCTTCTTCTTAAATAAGAAACACATCCTCATCCAAAATCCCTGAGTGTCCATGCTCCAGTCTGGCTGGTCTTCCCTCAGACAGCAACAGGCTGAGTGTTCTGGGATCAGCACTACATTGAGTAACCAAGCCTGTTTAATGAGGCGTGTGATTGGTGCCCTCCTTCCATGCACAAGACACTCCATTCAGACGCGTGATTGATTATGACAGACGCACAATGAAGAGCTAGTGTCAGGACCAGCATGCTCAACCTCTGACTACCTGACCGCTTGTTTACATCCATCCGAACCCATGCATATGTGCAAGGAATTATGCACACAGGGAAATTATGTGTGAACTGGTCATTTATGTCAACCCAGTAGTTTCACTGTAAAAAATGACCGTGAATTTAACGGTAAAAGACTGTAAAAATGCGACAGTAAAAACCTGTTAAATGGTTAATGGTAAATTCCCCTACTATATACGGTGAAAAACTGTATTGGACATTACATGTATTGGACATTAATTTTACGGTAGTATACCGTTTTTGGAAGTGAAAAAGACCGTATAATTTACAGTGAATAACCGTAAATTGACATTCCCAGAATTCCCTGCGTTACATTTCAAATTTTATGTTTTTTTGTTGAAATAACTATGTTTCTTATTAGATTGTTCTTATCAGTTTTGTATATTAGGGTTGTGTGTTACACCTAATGTTGTTAAATTAATGTTTATTACATTATTTCAGTGTCATGTGTGTCACCGTGATGGTGTTTAGTGTTTGTATGAATGACACTGAGCACCTTCTATATATGTTATTATCTAAAAGCTGCTTGTGATGGGCTTTGGTTCATCATGTGACTTTCTCATCACCTCCTGCATTTGGTGGTTATCAGTGTATTACAAAGGTACAAAACAGATTTCAGTTCTTCAATAGGTTGGTATATTAACATTATATAAGTTAATACAATTACAGTATTTAACTTTAAATTTAAGTTAAAACCGTAAAACCTCAAATGTTACCGTATTTTTTACGGTAAAATTCCGGCAACCACAGCTGCCGGTTTTTACGGATTTTTTTTTACAGTAGTTTGCACAAATATTGAAGTTGCATGTTATATACTGAAAAATATTAGTTGGAGAAACAATTTTCCATAAAAAATTGTGGGTAAATTGTACATATTATTACAAGGAGACATTAAATTTAGGAGTAGAAAAACTGAATTAGTATCATGTAGCATGATTTTCTTTTAAAGCGTACCCCAAAAAAATCTTAATCAAAATCAAAATTTTACAATGTTGGATTTACTTTAAAACAATTTTCACTCAGAAATGTCTATAAATTATATAAATAATTGCAAAGAAAGTAACACATTGAATTAAAGTGACATTTTAAATAGAAATAATTAAATAACATTTTCTTGTAAAGCATACTCCAATAAACTTATTTACATTTTTTTTTGCTCTATTTTTTTACAGTGTACTGTTATTAAACTCTTATGCTCTTGTTAATTTTTATTATTTTACTTCAGCTACATTACCAGTGCAATACTAGCTTATGTTTCACTGGAATACTGCACAGTATATACTCTGAACAGCTTATACTTATACTTATAAAAAATAGTATGTGAAACAGAATGCATCGTTAAACAACAATAAACTTGTCACACATGTGTCGTACAGTATGTTGCATGTTTAATTTAGTAAGTAGAATCTGTTTATCATGTGACAAATAAAGGTGGGCTATTTCATATTTCGGTCACACTTTAAATTAGGTGACCTTAACTGCTATGCTTTGGGTTACCATTGTTCAGGGTAAAACCAGAGCACAATGCATGGAACACTGCATTCCAGTTAATACAATATACTTATGTTCATACATGTTGGTGTATTGTATAACTTTGTAGTTACAATCTTACCTTTATCTCTAACCGTAACGCAACCCTTACCTCAAAACCTAACACCTATTACCCCTATAACCCTAACCCTAACCTTACATTTACTCCTAAATCTAACCATGCCGCAAACTCATTAGCCATAAACGTGGGAGTTTATCACAACAACAGATAGTTAGACAGTAAATCCATAGTTTAATTTTATTACATAGTAGTTAACAGCACAAAAAGCATGACCCACATTTTATGTAAAATATCCTAACTTTTAGTAGTCCAATCAAAATATTAGCCAAGATGAAGATATTAAGCATCACAGTAGATATTACTTCAGTTGTCGCACTGGAAATCCAGATATTCAGTGCATAAAAATTCACATGCTGCGCACAGAAAACCCGCTGCAGATAAATAATATAGCATTATGATATTTAGAGCATATAGCCACTACATTTTTATATTATTTTCTTCTATATAGTGTGAAACTCTTAGTGCAGTCAAATTGATATTACTAAATATTAAGTGTCTTTTAAACCCCACTGTACCACTGCACATCTGACAAATAAACCTGTTTAATAAAAAATATAATTTGTAATTAATCTGTGACTAATTTTAAAGGGACAGTTCATCCAAAAATTATATTTTGAAGAATGTAGGAATGTAGGTAACCAATCAGTTGCCGGTAGCCATTGACTATATACAGTATATATATATATACACACAGTATATTATGGAAGTCAATGGCTACCAGCAACTGTTTGGTTACCAAC